GCGGCTCTTTCAGACGCGGGGGGTGGGGACCCCTCGCAGCGATTTTAACCCCCCCGCGGAGCCAAGAAATGCCAGGAAACAGTTTCCACGGACCGGAGTCAACGCGGGGCTGCTTTTCCTGCCGGTCCCCGGCACATTTTACAAGCGGTGACTCAAATCGCCAGCGCTCAGTGACCTTTGGCTCCAAACTGCTGCTGGGCACAGTCCTGAGTTACCTTTCCTCCTCCCCCCCTCATCACGACCGTTGATCTTTTCTTCACTGAAATAATTCCCCTTGGCAATGAAAGGCTGTATAACAAGGTCGTAAATATTATTATGTCAATATTTGTGCTTGGTTGGGTGCACTCTGGTCCATCTTTTATGGTGTTTAAAGTGCAGGGCCTCCATCCCAGCCTTATGAGCAGCCACGTGGGACCCCTTCAGCCCAACACCTCCCCCCGGGTTTCTCAGATTTCACAACGGTGGTTGTACATCCCCAACAGCTTCTCATTTCTTCTCTGGCTCCAAACTGTGCAGCTGTCACGGGGTGAAAGTTTGGGATAATTCTGTCCCCTGCCCGGGTGAGGAGGGGGGTGACAGAGCAGCACCTGGCACCAACCAGGGCCAGCCCATCACGGATCCCATGTTTGGGAACTCTTAAATATTTTTGAGCAAGGAAGGGTTCAAAAATATGCTTTGGATGAAACACTGAGATCCGCTGGTGAACAACCAAACGGCCAGAGAGCTGTGGGGTCAAAACCACGCCTCTGTTGTTTGTCTCCCTTCCCCTCCCTGTGGCTCAACAGACTCAGTTCCGAGAAATCAGCCACACACTGAGAGCTGCCCTGGCAGGGTGAGTACTCCAGAGCAGCCCCTGGGCTGCCAAACTCGGGCTGGTGGGTGCTCCCTGCCCACAGTGAGCCACGGCTGGGACAGGGCTGAGCCCCCACATCAGGGGCTTGTCTCTGGGGGGGCTGCAATGACCACCTGATTAATTAAACGTGGCATGTGGAAGGGGAAGGGGGGAATAAACCCCAAAAGTCCCAGTTTTACAGCTGGGTTTAGTGAGGCTTTTGTTACCATGGGGTTGGTTTGAGTGTCTGCTGCGGGGTTGGGCTGGTTTGTCATTTTTGCTGCTTCTTCAGTGATTTTGTTGGTTTTTTTCAGCCCCTTGTTGCTGACAGAGTTGCTTCTTGGGGACAGAATTGAGCAAATCGTGGTGCAAAGAGCCAAATAATGATATAAAAAGGACTTTAATTTGTTTCAGTGGAGTGGAATGAACAGTGATTTTGGGGGGAGCTGGAGAGAACCAGCTGGAAACCACGGTGGGCTTGGGAGGGATTGAACCTGGGCAGGAGCTCGGGCTGCACCAGGGGGGGTCTCACAACGTGAACCCTCGGGGGTCCTTTTAGGGGAATTTGTGGAATCTGTACAGTCATCACTGGGAGGCAGAAATCAGTCATCACAAAGGAGCAAAAATGACTGGGACTGAGTCAGTAACTGCACTGGGTCTCTTTTAGTTTCAGAATTAAACTTCAGTTTTGCAAATGTTAAAACCTTCACCAGCCCACTGATTTCTGGCTCAGAATTGGGTTTGGGAGGGATTAAACCCGGGCAGGAGCTCGGGCTGCACCAGGGGGGGTCTCACAACGTGAACCTTTGGGGGTCTTTTTAAGGGAATTTGTTGAATTTGTTCAGTCGTCATTTGTGAGGCAGAACTGAAAGTAGGACTGAAATTTTGGCTTGAAATGAGGGGGCTGAACTTGTGCACTGAGACATCTGCCATATCAAGCAGGTCCAGGCACCTGATAGCTTCGTTTATCAAATAACAAGCCTTTATCTCTAATGATCCCTCCCCCACTTTCGGGCTCAGCTCCAGCTCAGAGCTTGGGCAAGGTCTGCCCTCTGTCCTGTCACTTTGGAAACCCCCAGGGTTCGGAAGCACCACCCCCTCCTGTCCCATCCTGTGTTTGTTCCTTTTTCCTGCCAATTTAACTCTCTCACTGCTCTGGAAACGCTGTTATCTGAGCATTCCTTGAGCTTTCCTCCTGCAAATCCCCTCTGAGGGAATCGCTTTGTGCTTTTTTCACATCCGTTTACCCACAATCAAACCTTTGCAGCTTTCAGAGCTCACTTTGGCAGTGAAATATTGCTGTTTTACCAGGACACGTTCCTGCTGAGCTTCTGTTGGTCCGTTTGGTGCTGGTAATAACTTACACAAGACCCCAGAGGACCAAAAGCTGCTGCCCCTGTTGGTTTGGGGTGCAGGGAACCAGGTCGTGCTCCTGCAACAGTGGGAACGGGGAGGGGGGGGAACCAGAGCGGGGTTTCCTGTGAGCAAACGAGCTCGTGGGGAGCCACAGACGGAAAACCCGAGCAGAACAGGTGCTGTGAACTGTCACAGGCTGTTTTCAGTCCTGTGTGTTTTTGCAAAAGAGCCCCCAAAGCACAAACTCTGCTCCGAGCCCTCGGTGCCTCTTCTGAGCCCTGAACGGGCTCCTGTCCCCTGCAAACACTTCAGCTGCCTTTGAGCTGTGAGCTCTCAATGGCTTCTTTATTTAATAAAGTGCTTTTAAACTTGTCTTTCTCTTTCCTTTCTGCTAAATTTGTTGCGGTTGTTTTTTCCTCTTTAATCCTTCCCCCTCCCTCTGTCCTTTGTGTCGCCTCCTGCCCTCAGCTCAGAACAAAGTCCTGCCGGGGCTGCCCCTTTGCACCAATAAAACTTTGAGAGCCAGTTCCAACCCCACAGGGGCTGTTGTGGCTGGCTGGGCTGTGGCCCAGGAGGTCTCAGCTCCCTGCAGGTCCCCTCAGCCTCTCCTCTCCTTCCACCCCAGGCTGCTGAGTGCTTCCACCCCACAGAGCCCAGGGAACGTCAGCCCCTGAGGCTTCTCTGCAAGGATGGGGAAAGGAACCCAAAGGCCAAATTCTTCAAGCCAAGAGGAACCACTGAACACCTGCAGTGATCCAGAGAAAGAGCCCAAATATGGTAATGCTGGGAAAATCCCAAACGCTCCGAGGGAGAGCATCTCGCTCTGGGAGGAGCATCAGTGGGATGGGGATGGAGCCTTTGGGTGGGTGTGGAGCAGCCCAGGCACAGCTGCACTGAATTCCAGGCTGGGGAATTCACCTCTGGAGGCTGAAGATCCGTCTCCAGGCCCTCAAACACACCTCGGTGACTCTGAAGGACTCCTGAGCCCCCAGAGGGTCCCTGGATGGGCCTGGGTGGGGCTGGGGATGGACTGAGGGTCCAGCACAGGAGGGCAAAGCAGAGGGGAGAGGAGCCAGGCCATCCTCACCCTGCTCTTTCCTGCCCCAGGCTCCTACAGAACCATGACCGGCCACAGAACATCCCCCAAGATGCGTGTTCTCCTCGCTCTGTGTGTGCTCCTGGGGATCCTCAGCTTCAGCCTGGCTGTGACAGTGACCAGTGAGTCCCACCCAGGCACCCCCAGGGGGAGGATTCCAGGACCTTCCGGGTACCAAGGGAGGCTCCCAAAGTGGGTGACTCCCTTTTTCCCTGCACTTTGCTCCAGGCACCTGCTCCTCCCTCAGTTATACCTTTCCTAAGAGCATCATCCCCAGTTTCCCTCTTCCAGCTGCTGGAAAAAAAAAACAACCAAGGAATCAACCCCATTTTGCTGCTTTTCAGGGCTGCCCACGTGTCTGACTCAGCTTTCTGTGTTTCAGTTCTCAGTGTCAGACCCCGTTTCTCTGAGCTGGAATTCTCCCACGTGTGCCCAGACACCTGGCCTGGTTTCCAAGGAAAATGTTATTATTTTTCTGAGGCTGAGGGCAACTGGACCAGGGGCCAGGAAAGGTGTGAGGCCCTGGGAGCTTCACTGGCTACCATAAGCACCAGGGAGGAACTGGTGAGGACTGGGATGAACTGGTGAGGACTGGGCTTGAGCCTGTGCAGCAGCACCGGGGTGGGAAACACGGGGAAACCAGGAGGATAAAAGCAGCCCCAAACCCCCCAGGCTGGCCCCAAAGTGCTGCCAGTGCTGGAGCCGGGAGCCAACCCCTTGGGAAAAGCCCCAGGTCTGGCTGGGGGTGGGCACAGGAGGGGAAGAGGAGGTGGGGAAGGCAAGACTGGCCAAAGCCAACATTTCTTTGCCTTCCAGGCCTTCCTTCTGCGCTATAAAGGTGAAGCAAACCACTGGATCGGGCTGGAAAAGAGGGATAATGGCTGGGAGTGGATCAATGGCACAGCCTTGAACAGCAGGTGGGTCCCTGTGTCCGTGCTGGAGCCCCAGGGTGGGCCCAGGGATTTCCTGGAGTCTGGGATGCCCCATCCTGGGATGGGCACCTTCTCCTGCCCCGTGTCCAGGCAACTCCTGGCTTTCCATGGGGGGTTGGGATGGGCCGAGGTCGCTGCCCCCCAACCCTGACCAGAGATTTAGAGACCCCCCCAGCCAAAGCCCTTCTCTGCTGGAGAGGAAATCCCAGCTCTTCTTAATTTTTTGGGGGGGAGTTTCCTTCTTTTCCTTTTCCCTTTCTGACTCTGGTCCCGTTGGCATTTGCAGGTTTGAGGTGAGGGGTGGGGGCCCCTGTGGGTACCTGAACCAGGGCAGGATCAGCTCGTCCCTGTGCCACACGGAGAAGAACTGGATCTGCAGCCGCCCCAACAACTTCGTCCTGTGGGAGGGGAAATTAAGAGACTCCAAATCGGGACTTTCAGCCTAAATTTCCGGCCAGACGATGGAGCTTCACCTCAGCACTGTAACTGGAACTGCTGGGGGAGCATCCCAGTCGTCTGGCTGTGAAATTTTCGCTGAATCCAGAAATATGTTGAGTTGGAATCCAGCTGTTCCCATGGGTCCAGAGGGACCTGGAAAGTCCTCCAGCAAAACTCTGGACACTGTCTCCCATTGCACATCCACGGCTTGCACAGGGTTGCAAAGGAAAGGAGGGATGGAGCCGCTTCGCTTAGCCTACCCATAGTAATGGTGTGTATAAACCATGAAAAAATTGCAATAAAATTTCTTTTTGTACCACACGGGGTCCGTTGCCTGATTGTGGCAGGTGGAAGCATCATCCCAATTTCCCAACGTCTCCAGCCGTGGCTGGGGAGAGCTGGAAAGGGGCTTTTTGGCAAACCCACTTGTGGTCACTGGCACAGATATCAAGATCCAAGCTCTTGCCTTTCAGGGTCCCACACCCTTCATCCACCTCCAGCAGGTCCCCAAACCTGCATGACAAAGGGTTTGTTGGCTGAGAGGAGCAAAAAGTGTCCCAGTCCTGCCGGAAAGGAGACAAAGGGGTGTTTCTCTTGCCCTTTTCCTGCACCGTTTCCCGGGGGAGGTGCCCGGCTGTGAGGGCGGTCAGTGCAGGGCATCCTCCCCTCTGCCTCCTCCTTCCTCGACGACAACCTCTCCTCTGCCTCCTCCCCGCCTTCCTCACTCACGTCACGGGCCTGTCGGAATAAAAGGCTCCGGCGGTCAATAAATCACCGGCGGCGAGCGCGTGTTCCAGGTGGAGGTGGGAGCGCGGGGGCTCGGGGAGCGGGAGGGGGAGAAAAGGGGGGTCCGGAGGGTTCTCCCTGCCCCGGGTGGAGGGTGTCGGCGGTGCTGGGAGCGGGCTCTGGGGGTGAAGTGGGCTGTCCCTGTACCCGACCGTGCGCCCCCGTCGGGGATCGTCCCGGTGCCTCCCGGTCGGGCAGAGTTGGCTGCCCCGTCCCCGGTGCCTCCCGGTCGGACAGAGTTGGCTGCCCCGTCCCCGAGAGTGTTCCCGGCCAGGGGGGACCGGGCTTGGAGCCACCGGGGCTGCTGCGAGGTGTCCGGGGCGGCGGGGGGATGGGATGGGCTTGGAGGTCCCTCCCGTCCCAAACCATTCTTGGATTGAATTGCGGCGATCCTGCCATCCCGGGGCTGAAGCCACCGCGCTGCTGCTTTTCCTGCGGGTCCTTGGCACGATTTGGGTGCAGTGACTCATTGTCAGTGCTCAGTGCACCTGAGTGCTCCAAACTGGCCGGGCAGGAGCCGCTGGGCACAATCCCCCTCTCTGGACTGTTCTCGACTTAATCTCTACAGTCTGACACAGTGCTCCTGTTAAAGCTGCACTCAGAGAGGGTTAAAGCTGCACTCACAGAACTGCCCTCACAGAACTGCCCTCACTGAACTGCCCTCACAGAATCGCCCTCACAGAATCACCCTCACAGAATCACCCTCACTGAACTGACCTCACAGAACTGCCCTCACTGAACTGCCCTCACAGAATCACCCTCACAGAATCACCCTCACTGAACTGCCCTCACAGAACTGCCCTCACAGAATCACCCTCACAGAGTCGCCCTCACAGAGTCGCCCTCACAGAGTCGCCCTCACTGAACTGCCCTCACAGAACTGCCCTCACAGAGTCGCCCTCACAGTCACCCTCACAGAACTGCCCTCACACAATCGCCATCATAGAGTTGCCCTCACAGAGTCGCCCTCACAAACTGCCCTGACAGAACTACCCTGACAGAACTGCCCTCACAGAACTGCCCTCACAGAGTTGCCCTCACAGAACTGCCCTCACAGAGTCGCCCTCACAGAGTCGCCCTCACAGTGAAGACACCGAAGGGACGGGTGTTGGAATCTGTGTGTTTATTTTAGGACAGTTTGGTTGCAAAGGAAAGCAGTGATGGAGCCGCTTGGCTTATTGTCATCTACAGTAGTATAAAAGCATAAAAATAACACTTAAGTGTAGGGACTGAGATTATATGACCCTGGGAGAAACTTAAGTGGAACTTGCAAGATAAATGCAGATGTGGTGATAAATCTGTGTGTGTGTGAAATTGCTTGGGAGTATTTTTCTCCTGGGCAGAGAATGTTTAACTAAAAAGTAGATATAGAGAAAAGTCACTAACAGGAATTTACTGCTGATGTAACGGGGTGGATAAACCATGAAAAAATTGTAATAAATTTTTTTTTTGTACCACACGAGGTCCGTGCCCGAGTGTGTCACGTTGAGGCATCATCCAGCTTCCCAAACGTGGGTGAGGAGAGCTGGAAAGGGGCTTTTTGGCAAACCCACTTGTGGTCACTGTCACAGACATCAACCTCCAAGCTCTTGCCTTTCAGGGTCCCACAGAACCCTTTGTCTGGCTCCCGCAGGACCCCAAACCTACACAATGAAGGGTTTATTGGCTGAGAGGAGCAAAGTGTCCCATGACCCCAGTGTGCTCCATAACCAACCCCAACGTGCCCCATAACCGACCCCAATATGCCCCATAACCAACCCCAATGTGCCCCATAACCAACCCCAACATGCCCCATAACCAACCCCAACGTGCCCCATGCCCCCAGTGTGCCCCAGGACCCCAACTCTTGGTCTGCAGGGTGTTACCAGAGGAATAAGAGACCCTTGCATGGCCCCCAGTGATGTGTGGATGTGGATCGGGGTCTCAAATGAATCAAAGCTTATTTTTACCCCCCCAGACCTCGGACACTCACCTGTGGGGGTCGTAGGGGGTGTCGTCCACCCACGTCCACTCCTTCTGCCGTGACCTCAACCCGACCCACACCGACCATGGGCTCCCATCTGTGACACTCTCGACGTTCTCCTGGGATGTGGAAGAGACCAGTTGCTCCAAAAAAATCTCTGTGGGGATTTCCTGACCCCCCAAATCCGTGGGACACAAGCGTCCCTGTGTTCTGAACCCCAAACTCTCCTGCTGCTGGGAGCCTTTGCCCCCCTAAAAACCCAGGACTTCGGGGTCCTTCCCAAGCCTTTTCCTCCCTGTTTACCATTTCTGTCTCGTTCTTGAGCACCACCAGCTCAGAGCCCTGATCTTCGCAGCTTTTCCTGCCCTGGGTCCAGTTTCCCGATTCCTTGGAGAGCCAGTAGCATCTCTCCCCACGGAGCTGCCAGTCCTGGGGGCACAACTTGCAGCCAGCAGGGGCTGGAGAGGAGGAAAGGCCACGAATGAGACACCCCAGAGGTGAGCAAGGTCTTCCCCGACCCCCCAAATGAAAGGCACCAAACCCTCGAGTCATTTCCCAGCATTGTGGTTTTTCTGCTCTGCCACCACAGAGGAGGAGGAGGAGGAAGAGGGAGAGGAGGGGGAAGAAGAGGAGGAGGAAGAAGTTGGTTGGTGAGAAACATCCCCCCTTGGGCTGACCGTGCTCCTCCGGGGAGGTGGGGCCGCCAAAAAATCGCACAGAAAAGAGAATTCTCCCTTAAAAATGCTCCTTTTTGCCAGAGAACCCTCAGTGCAGGGTCTCCTCGCAGGAGGAGCCCCCTGAGGTCCCACCTGAGCCTCTCCCAGCAGAGCCAGGTGGGAAGGGGGCTCACCTGGGGGGCTCTGCCCCTGGGGCTGGCAGAAGTACTGCACCAGGGATGGGAAGATCCATCGCTCCGTCTGGTTCCTGGCCTGGCTCTCAACTCTGGGGTCACTTTCAGGACATGGAGAGCCCTGAAAAACTGGGAGCAAAGACCTGGGGTGAGAAGCTGCAGCCAAACCACAAACCCCACAGAGCCAGGGTGGGTTTTGCCCCGCAGTTAATGAAGTTGGCCCAAAGCCCACAGATCTTGCCCTCCTCCCTCATTTGGGGGATGCTCCAGGTGTGCCCAGAGGGGGTTTTGCTCTTGGCTCTCGTGTCTGCACCAACCCTCCGGGGCCTGAACCGCTGCAGCAAACCCAGATTTCCGCTCCCAGGCCTCTGCTCGCCGGGGTGTGAGGTGGAGATAAGAGCTGGTTACTCACCCCTCACGCTCAGGACCACCACCAGCACCAGCAGGACGAGGTGCCCCAGTGCCCCGGCTGTGAGGAGGACTCTGTGCCACCACGGGCATGGGGCAGGAGCTGGAAGAGGCCACATTTAAGCTCAAAAAAACATGAAGAAGATTGGGTGTTTAGAGCAAAAAAAAACCCCAAACCCCTCTGCTGAGCTGTGAGTTTGAGCAGAAGTTTCTGGTTGCTTTGCTTCCTCCAAAGCCATAAATCCCCCCTGACAGGGCTCGAGCCAGGGCAGCACCCCCGGGGGAGATTGGGGGGCTCAGGGGGTGCAGCAGCCTCGGGAGCAGCCTCGAGGACCCAGTGCCAGAGGGCAGGACCTGGGAACTCCCAAACGGGCTCAGTTTCCAGCTGGGAGTTGGTGGCCGCGGGTCCCTCCAGCCCTCGACTCCTCCGGGGTCCGGACGGGGCTCGGCCCCTTCCCTGCCCTCCCAGGGGTGGGGGCTCCCCTGGGGCTTCCTGGGGTCTCCTTTTGGCCACCAAGTGAAGGGTCTGGGAAACAAAACTGTTCCAGTTCTGGAGATTTTCCAGCCTCTCCTGTCCCTGTCCCACTCCGGACAAGCCCAGACCCCATTTCAAAGGCCACCCCGTGAGCTTGGAAACCTGAACGTGGGGATGGAGAAGCAAAGGGACCCCAAAGGTAACGGACCCAAAACTCTCCCCAGGGCCTGAAATGAGCCCTTTTTTCCCCCAAAATACACTCACCAGGACATTTCTCAGCCGGGGAAGGCTCATTCCCAGGATTTCTTAGATCAGCATAAACGATTTCCCCAGCCATGGTGGCTCTGGAGGTCGTTGGCGTGTCCCGAGAGCGGCACCAGCCTCGGACACCTTCTCACCCCGTGACCAACGTGCGTCCGGTCCCAGGAAATGGCACCAACCAGGCCTTTTATGTTTCTTTGTTTTTTTGAACATATCTCTGTATTCTGCAGCCTCCCCTGTGCCTGGGGAAAGGGTTTAGGGTGTCCCCAGCCAGGAGGAGGAGGGGGGCTCACCTGGAGGTGCAGGAACACGCGCAGGGTTGGGCCGAACAGCGGGGAAAATTATTAAATTAATTAAATTAATTTATTAAATCAACTTAAAAAGCCTCTGATTGAGGTTTTTAGGGGGTGAGGCTGAAACGTGACAGGTGGTATTTGGTGTTGCTTCCCCAAAAAGCATCTTATGGAGGGGGGGGGTGGCAGAAATGCTGCAGCCATGGGAGGGTCAGAACCAGGCAGGGCAGGAGGAGCTGACACCCCCCGGTCATTTAGGGTTTTTTTCTCACTTGTCTGACACCCCTTTGTCCCACTCAGCCCCATCGGTCGGGAAAGATCCAAGTCCTGGTTTCTGGGGTTGCCCCCACAGTCGCTTTTGGGGTCCTGCGGGGGCTGCGGGGCCGAGGGAATGTCCGCGGGAATGTTCACGGGAATGTCCCGGGAATTCGGCTCGCGCGCATCCCCTGCCGGCCGCGGGGCACAAACGCACCCGATTTCCCTCCGAAAAGGGGGGAAAAATCCGGCCCCAAATCCCTTTTGCCCGAGCGGAGGAGGGGGACACAGTTCGGGCGGAAAAGCCCAAAAATCGGTTTTGCCCAGCTCGGGAAGAACAAACCAAACAGAAGTGAGGTGGGACCCCCCCAGCAGCACTTGTGTGCCGTGTCCCCCCCTCCCCTGAAGCCCTCCAGGGTGACTGGGCAGACTGGGAGCACTGGGAAGCAGCCCCGGGAGCTCCAAGGCTCCGACATTTGGGATGGAATCCCGGGAGGAAGGGACAGGGGTGGATTTCACAAGGTTTTATTGCAAAAGTGAACAAGGTGACAGAGCAGAACAGCAGCAGCTACTGGTGGGGTACCACCGACCTGTATCCAAGGTGGGATCTCCTGCTTCACTCCTGATGGGCAGCATCATAGATGTATACAGGGTTAGGGTACAACTGCGGACTGTTAGAGAAGCAGGATGAGTTCTGGGATGGTTCTAGAAGGAGAAAGAAACCCAGAGCCCCCAGTCCAGGCAGCCACACATCGGCTTCCACATCATCTCCCCTCCCTGCAGGCTCATCCCCTTCAGCCCAGGCACTGAGGTGGCCCTGAGGGGTTGCACTGAGGTATCCGTGGCACCAAACTCTGAGGTGATGCTGATAAACAACTGCAAGGCAGGTGGAGAGCTGAGCTGTGCTGGGAGAAGATGCAAAGCTGAGAATCTTCAGGATGGAGAGGGTCCCGTTCCCACCATCTATCCCAGGCGATGCTGGGGTCTGTTGCAGAGGAAAGGCCGCTGAGCCGAGCAGAGCCCGCTCCTGAAGCGCCGGTGGCCCAGGAACACACACTCTGAGTCACCCAGGACGGGGACCCTGCAAGGAGGGGCAGAGACAGCGCTGGCACCACAGGGGGGGACAGTCTGTGCCCCCCTGACCACCCATCCCCGGGACTCACGAGGAGTTGTAGCTGCTGCCGTCCACCCACTGAAACCTCCCGCCCCGTCTCCGCAGCCCGAGCCAGTAACCCAGGCTGTCATTGAGGCGGGAGAGGAGGCCGGGTCTGAGGAGTACACGAGGGCTCCCCGGCCAGTTGCAGCCCTAAAAAAACAGGACTTTGCTGCTCGCCTTGGAGGTGCCCAAGGGGGATAAAGGATCCCCTGCCCCAACCCCACCCCGTGCCCCCAGCAGTGGCTCTGCCCCCCTCCTCGAACGGGGCTGTGTTTGGGGTTTGGATGCCCTTGGGGACCTGGATGTACCCCCGTAACCGCCCCGTCCCGTGTTCCCCTGGCTCCCCCCGTGTCCCTGTGTTCCTCCGTGTCCCCCCTCCTCTCCCGTGTTCCTCCATGTTCCCCCTCCTCTCCTCTCCTCTGTCTCCCCGTGGCCCCCTCCCGTGTCCCCCCTGTGTTCCCCCGTATTCCCCGTGACCCCCCGCGTCTCCCATGACCCCCCGTGTCCCCCCCCTTGCCCCCCGACCTCTCCCGTGTCCCCCCCTCATCCCCACGGGGATTTTCCCATCATGCCCCGCGCGGGACTTCACCTCCCAGCGGCCCCCGCGCCCCCCCCGCGCGCAGTGGGCGTGGCCTCCGCCATCTTGGCGCGGTCCCTCAGCGGCGTGAGGGGGGGGGGGGCACGTCCGGCGGCTCTTAAAGGGGGCACGGCCCGGGGTGGGGCCCCCTCGGCGCGGGATGGAGCGCGGAGCGGCGGAGGAGGTTCGGGGGGACGGGGAAGGGGCGGCGGGGGCGGCGGGAGCGGGACGGAGCCCCCAAAATCCGGCTCTTCCCCTCCCGCCCGCCGCCGTTGTGCCGCTTCCCCCCCCTCCCCGCTTTAAGGCCCGGCGGGGGGGAACGGGCGGCGGGGGGGGGCCCGGGGGGGACGGCGAGGGGAGGGGCTTGTGGGAGGCGGGGCTTTGTGGGAGGCGGGGCTTGTGGGGGCGGGGCTTGAGCCGGCGCGGGCGGGGCCAAGAAGGAGGTGGCATCGGGGGGACGAGGGGCGGGGCCAAGGCGAGGGGGCGGGGCCTGGGGCGGGGCTTG